AAAAAAAAAAAAAAAAAAAACATAGTTAAGAGAAGTATATAAAAACTACACCAAATGGTAGTCTCCTAGCCTAAGATCATAATAATTTCTTTAAGTACCTAATTAGTGAAAAACTATGGTCTTGTCCAAAGAGAGGTCTGGCCTTTACCTTTGCCTTCCAATCTATCTCTCTTCTAGGGGAAGGTGGCACATCAGGACTCAGTGTGGGGCCAGACACATGTAGTAGTCTTGAGTGTGGCTGTCCACACTAGAAAGACCAGCCATACAATTTAGTGTAGGGGAATTGGGTCACATGGTATTAGCAAACTTAGTCTCAGATAAAACACATGAACAATCAATGACACTTGCTTAATGAAGCCTCAATAAAAACCAAACACTGAGGCTTGGCAAGCTTTCCTGGTTGACATATTCCACACATAGTATCACACAGTGAGGCCAATAGTTAATACAGTTCAAGACTCCATGGAGAGAGTACAGCCGCAAGCCCCATGTTTGGAACATTCCCGAGTCTGCCCTGCGCATCTCTTCCTTTGACTGATTTTCATATGCCTTCTTGCCTTCAATAAATCATAACCATGAGTATAATAACTCTTGGTAAGTTCTAGCAAATAACTGAGCCTGAGGGTAATCTGGGAAACCTCTTGAATTTGGTGTCGAAAGTGAGAGTATGATTGGCCCTAAAAATCTTTACCTTTAGTAAAAGGGAGAACTTTAACATAATAGGAAAAGAAAGTAAATGGGGATAACATCAGTCTCCACCCTTCCCAGTCATTTCACATTATAATTTTAATAACAATACCTCCCCTGCATCCCTACCTTCAATAAAAACAGCAGAGAGAAGCTAACATTAATACTTCCCAAAATCAACTACACCAATTCCAGAAAGAGGAAGTAAATATACACAGCTTGGCAGCAATGGGTGGCAAAGACAAAAGGAAGAGCTTGAAAAGACATACAACCTAAACCTAAAATGTTTCTCATGGTTTTTTACAGTTACTCCTCACCCCCACAAAAATGAAAATTTTAAAAAGGCCATCAACAAGATACATTTCATGTCTGTCTAAGGTTCAAACCCTAGGGCAAAAGATGTGCAAAGTCTTCACACACACAAAAAAAAAACAAACCTCAAGACATAAAAACACTAAAACATAAACACACTAAGGTTAAAAGCAATGATGTGAATGGGGGTGAAAAAGAGCTCCCCGCAATTTTAGGAATCTCTCTCTGGAAGGAATTTTCCTTTTGGCAAATATAATGGAACCAGTTCTAACATTTACTCAGAAGAATGTCATACATACCAGAATAACATGGTCCTCTTGCTACTACTGTTATCTCTTTCTGGTGCTTACAAGCAGCCCTTCTGAGAAAGCATTCATTTTGGTAAGTGTCCCCATTTGATCCACAGACGGGAATATAATTTGTATGGCACTGCAAATGAAACAAAAATAAACACTCAGAACTAGGCATGAATATTAATAGTTTATTTCACATTTATGAATGCAATACCATAGTATTATGACAGTCTACTACTGAATAGTTTGTTCTTTTACTTGGTTTTTTTAAAAAAGAAAAATTATGCTACTTCTTCATTCCTTTTTCACATTCATATTGAAAATACCAACTATCTGTAAAAATGAGACTGAAAATCCTTATGCTATCTACTTCATTAACTTGCCATGAAAAGCCACTGAGATAATAAGAGGAAATTCTTGACAATGTTTGTAAAGAGCAATAGGTTAGGTAATGTCATTTTAGTATTACCAAAATTCATTTCTTTAATACTTCTATAGTAGGGAAGTTCCAAACTAAATGCTACAGAAGATACAAAGAACTATAACATGATTTCTGTTCCCAGAGACCTTATACTCAATAGAGTCATAAAAATATGAGAGAAAATGCTGCATAGCTAAATCATAATCCAAATTAATAGGATATACAAATAGAATATACATCTTTATTCTCATGTATACCTAGTAGGAAACTACTTCAGATTCTTTTAATCCAAACATTTATTATAAGCAAATAGAAGTATCTGACTGCTGTGCTTTCTTCTAGTATAATCATCTGCATTCATTTACATGTTTGCCTAGTGTTGTAAGCTAGAGTACTCAAAAAAAAAAAAAACCTCTTCAGAGAAAGTGAAATGTGAACTGGGCCTTGAAGGATGGGTAGAAATAAGAAAGATTAAGAAGAAAAAGGATGGGCTGGAGTTGTAGCTCAGTAGTAGAGCACCTGCCTTGCACATGTGAGACACTGGGTTCAGTCCTCAGCACCGCATAAAAAATAAACACACACACACACACACACACACAAAAAAAAAAAAAAAAGTCTAAATGAATAGTTTTAAAATCTGAGGGAAAAATATGATGCAAGTTTTAATTACTTAAAAAAAGAAAGAAAATACAAATTAATAAAGCAACAGACCAGAGAAATGAAGTAAAATTTATAGAAAAAATACAAAATAGCCAGTTAATGTACAAAAAAGCACTAACATTCACTTGCAATCACAGAGTTATATACTAAAAGTGAAACATTCTTTTTAACTTAATGTCTTTAATACTATTTAAAAATTTTTCAACTATGTGAGCATTCCAATACACCAATTATAGTCATCTAAATTGGTTCAACTTTGGGGGAACAACATTCAACAATATGTTTCAAAAGTTCTAAAATGGGAATGCAGTTTTTGTTCCAGAATTATACATTTCAGAATCTATCTAGGGTTGGGATGTGGTTCAAGCAGTAGTGTGCTTGCTTGGCATGCGCAGGGCACTGGGTTCGATCCTCAACACCACATAAAAATAAAATAAAGATATTGTGTCCACCTAAAAATAAAAAATAAATTTTAAAAAAAAAGAATCTATCTAGGGGCTGGGATTGTGGCTCAGTGGTAGAGCGCTCGCCTAGCACGGGCGGGACCTGGGTTTGATCGTCAGCACCACATAAAAATAAAGGCATTGTGTTTAAAAAAAAAAAAGAATCTATCTGAACGAAACTTGTAGACAAATATTTATTACAGTCTTTTCAAACAGAAATTTGTACTATCCAACCTAAGTGTCAAATAGAGCAATGTTTAATTAAAACATTGTATTTGTTAAGAATACTGCAGTTATGAAGATTTAATTTTTAAAAAATACTGTGTGACAGAAAAAGCTAATATCAGGTTAGGTGAAAAACATATATATAACTTCTGGAAATTCTGTGCCATTTTTAAAAGTATTATCTATCTGTGAAACTAAGTGCAAAATTCTAAAAATAATATACTAATATAAAATAAAATATAGCAAGAAACTAAATCACATATCTTTCAATTTAGAAAAGATGAATGTTTAAAATAAATTCTGGAAGAAAATATCAACAACAATTTTTTCACATTATGTCTTTATGTTTTATTTCTCAATTTTTCTGCAATTAAGATTTACTATTTTTTTTTAATTTATCAGAGATTTATTTATGAAACATAAATACAGCATAATATCACAGGTCAAGCCCTGGTAAAAACAATTTCTAACTAATAAAATTAAGTTGATTTTGTACACATTCAAAATCAGCAGAATCCTACATCAACTTTTATTAAAATTAAATTTTTACTTCAGGAAATTTCGTGTAGAAAATGCAGTAATATCATATACAAATAAGTCTGGTCTGTCATACTTTATCCCAATAAAGATTTTTATTCTAGCATCCAACCATACTTCTACATCTTTACTTTCATGTACACCTGGTAGAAAACTGCTTCAGATTCTTTTAATCCAAACATTTATTAAAGCAGATAGAAGTATCTGACTGCTGTGCTGTCATCTGGTATAATCATCTGCAAGCATTTACACTGTAAAATATTTATATTATTACAAATTATTTTTATTTTTCTCTTCTATTGGAATTAGGTATCATATTCAATTCTTTAATCATGTTTATGAAGGTTACATTATATTTAAGGGTAATAAAGAAATTAAACAAATTTTTTTAATTGGAGTTGGACACAATACCTTTATTTTTATTCATTTATTTTTTTTAATGTGGTGCTGAAGATCAAATCCAGCGTCTCACATGTGCAAGGCAAGCACTCTACCACTGAACCACAGCCTCAGCCCCAAAACAAAATTTTGATTACTAAAAAAGAGCATTAAATCTGATAGGGCTGACAATCTTCACAATTATTAAACAGTACTTATCTAGAACAATCACTGAACTACAACTTTAAACATACTAACTTAAGTATCCCAATAACCATGTGAAACACATAGCTTAACACAGAGCTAGGGCTCTGTAGTCAAAAGTACCTGTGTCCAAATCCTGCCCACCATCCATGTGACTATGAGCTAGTACCAGAATCATTTTTCCATCTGTACAAGGGTAATTATAATAGTCCCTACCTAAATAAGGTGGTTTTGAGGATTAAATCAGAGAAATCTACCAGTAGAATTTATATCTAGCCATGGTAAATTCCCAATAAACATTAACTATATCACAGGTCAAGCACTGGTAAAAACAATTTCTAACTAATAAAATATTTTAAAACCAAGTTGATTTTGTATACATTCAATATCAGCAGAATCCTACATCAACTTTTATTAAAAATTATTTTTTATTATTATTTCAGAGTCTAAGTATTTGCCCAGGGTCACAGCTAATAAGTGAAAGAGCCACAATTCCTCATAACTCATATACTTTAACCATTACATACTCAAGTTAGCCAGCGAGATCTCACCACAGAGCTCTTGGAGATAATGAGCACGGGACTTAATGTCCCTGAAATATAACTTCACAAGCATATCCTTAGGGTGAGCCCGAGATGGCAGAAGCAGACCTGCTATTCCTGGGTCATTCTAGTTTCTAGGAGTCATTCTTGGTGATCTCTCAGTATACTTGTGAACAAACGAGAAGATATCTGGGAACTTCTGATTTCTGCACAGGTGTTGGAACCTATCTCTAGGTTCCTCCTTGTTGGGGGAAAGAACCCTCTTCCATCACTTCTCTTTAGCCAGAAGAGCATGATGATACTTCCAGCTATGTAGTTTAGAACGATGCAGCAGTACCCAAGTCTACAGAATCAAGTCATTCAAGCATTTATTGTGTACCTACTATGGGATGGAATTATGCTGCATGTAATCAAAACATAATAACTAGATTATCTGGGCACAGTGGCTCATGCCTGTAATCTTAGCTATTCAGAGTACTGTAAGTTCAAGGCCAGCATTGACAACTTTAAGAGACCCTGTCTCGAATTAAAATTTTAAAGTGGGTTGGTGGGGCTAGGGATATAGCTCAGTTGATAGAGTGCTTGCCTCACATACACCATGCCCTGGGTTTGATCCATAGCATAACCAAAAAAAAAAGGGTTGCAGATATAGTTCAGTAGTAGAGTGCTTGCCTAGCATGTGTGAGGCCCCTGATTTGATTCTCCACAAGGACCACAAAAAAATGAATAAATAAAATCATATTTTATGACAGGTAATTTCATACGTCAATTTGACTGGGACTCAGAGTGCCCAGATTCAAAATTATTTCTGATGCAACTGTGAAGGTACTTTCAGATATTATTACCATTTGAATCAGTGCACCAAATAAAGCAGACTGCATTATGGGTAAGTATTATCCAATCTGTTGAGGACCCAAAAAGAACAAAGTGGCAGAGAAAGGGAGAATTCTCTCTGCCTGGCTGCTTAAGCTAAGAACATTGGTCTTCTGGTTCTCAGGCCTTCAGTCTCAGACAGGGATTTATATCATTGGATTTTCTGGGTCTGCAATGTGCAGATGACAGATTGTATAACTTCAACCACCATGATCAAATAAAACAGATCCTTGTAGTCTCTTTCTCTCACTGTCTCTCACATTTCTCGTGTGTGTGCGCATGCACATAAAACTCCAGCTAATACAAAGGTCTAAAAAGAGGTCATGGCTCTCAGCAAGAACAGACACGGATAAATTCAGGAGGAAAGACACATAGTCCAGAGAACTGTGTAAAGAAGAACAAAGAGAAGAAAGTCATAGGTGATAAGTTTTCAGGAAAAGATGCAGTATTCATCATTTTTCTTTGTATAAAAATGACTAAACATGGCTTTGTTTAGGTATGTGGTAAGATAACAGCTGTTATTAGCAGACTGAAAACAATTTTAGACTTTTACATACAATTTTGTCATTACCTGTTAAAATGTATTTCAATCCTGTCCCAGAAAGTTTTTATCAGCACCAAAAGCATGCTAAGTCATGAGTTGAAATGTTTAATGTGCACACTAAGTCATTGTTTTGAAGCTGGCAATATCTAAAGTCTAGCTTGAACAGATTTATAAACTATGGGAAGGCACTGTGGCCAAAAGAAGGCTTTCTCAGCAAGAAGATCAAACTATGGATATGTAAGCCCTGAGGCAGTGTGCTCCTACAACCAAGAACCTGCCTTTAAACATCTTTACATCTAGTCTAGGACCCAGAATAAAGTAAATATTCAATAAACACCCACTGATCCTAGCTCCTAACTTATATTTCCCTTTCCTGCTCTGCCACAAGAATGCAAATGATTCAAACATGGGCTAGGGATGGGGCTTAAGCGGTAGCGCGCTCACCTGGCATGACGCAGCGCTGGGTTCAATCCTCAGCACCACATACAAATAAAGATGTTATGTCCACCGAAAACTAAAAAATAAATATTAAAAAATTCCCTCTCTCTCTATTTCTCTCTCTCTCTCTCTCTAAAAAAAAAAATGATTCGAACAGTTTCTGGGAGGATTTTCTCTATTCAAATTTGTTTTTTAAAAAAAGGCTATTTCTTTATTAATCTTAAAACTTTTAGCCAGGCACAATGGTGCAAGCCTATAATCCCAGTACTCAGAAGGCTAAGGCAGGAGGACCTAAAGTTTGAGCCAGCCTCTGCAACTTAGCAAGACCTTGTTTCAAAAAATAAAAAAAGGGTTAGGGATGGAGCTTGGTGGTGGAGCACCTTGGGTTCAATCCCCAGTACAAAAAAAGAAAAAAAAAAAAAGAAGTTTCAGAGAAAGACTTTCAAAGAATGAAGAAAATCAGAACCATAAAGACAAAAACACATAGATAAATATAATTTTCACAGAAAAACTTATACTTCTTTATGTCAAAAAAGTAAACAAGATAAAAATAAAACAATTATTATTTATCAGCTAAAAGTAAATCATTTTTAAAAAGAAAAAAGCAGAAAATAAAACTAGGATAACTTCTTTAAAATATGGAATCTTTTTTTTTTTTAACAACCTAAATAAACTGTATTGGAATAGTCTCTAAGGTAAATACTATTGAGTAACTTACATACTTAAAAGGGGAACTAAGATCATATATGTTTGTATAAACACAAAAAGATAGCAGCCAATGTTACCTCTAAGAAGAGCAACTGATACTCTAGAATGGAGACTTTTTTTTCCATTATCTATCTTCTTATATTGTTCAAGTTGTTTACTATGGGTAATATAACTCTTTTTAAAAACACATCAAAACGGTTGGTTCTCATGAGGGTTTCTGAATTAATGGATATAAAATGCTCAAGCACAATAAGCAATATAGAAGTATTTAAATACTGTATTTTGTATAGCATGTACACGTCCATTCACACATATATACATTATGTTTTTACAAATTAACAAGGGAAAAAGAAAATATTACAAAAAAAATAAGCAAAGAAAGCCGGGTACAGTGATGCATACCTGTAATCCCAGCAGCTCGGGAGGCTGAGGCAAGAGGATCAAGAGTTCAAAGCCAGCCTCAGCAATGGCGAGGCGCTTAGTAACTCAGTGAGATCCTGTCTCTAAATAAAATACAAAATAGTGCTGGGGATGTGGCTCAGTGGTTGGGTGCCCCTGAGTTCAATCCCCGGTCCCAAAAAATAAAAATAAAAAATAAGCAAAGAATCTGAAACATTAATTCGCAGAAAAAATGGTCAATAAATAAGTGGCAGGTTTTCAACTTCTCTCATAGACAAATGCAAATAAAAAATTGGCGGGAGGCTCGGGAGGGGCTTTCAGATTTACAAAATTTAAAAGGACTGACAAAAATCAAGAAGCTGAGGGGAGAATGAAGGAACTTTGGTTTGTGTGGAGGGGAGTGAGGAGAGGGGAGGGGGCTATGGAGGTGGGAAGGACAGCAGAAAGAGACAGACATTATTACCCTATTCACATGCATGATTATACTACTAGAGTGACTCTGCACCATGGACAACTAGAGGAATGAGAAGTTGTGCTCCATTTGTGTACAATATGTCCAAATGCATGCTATTGTAAAATAAATTAATTATTAAAAAAAAAAAAAAGAAGCAGCAGCAGCTGAGGGGGAGACAGGAACTCATATATTGCTAATTGGTGAGAATGTTAATCCTCTCATGAACATCCCACTGGTCCATTAGATCCATACTAAATTTAACCCAAGTAAATACTTAAGACAAGTAAGAGGAATAGCCCCAGTCTTTAGCAATGTAAAATAGCTAAAACTGCAACAAAAATACCTAAAATTTTTCTGGCTTCACAAACCAGAGAATAGAGTTTGGGGTAGCCAAAACTACTAGAAAATAAAAAGGAGATCCCAGTAAGTCTCAGATTCTCTGCATAAACTCAGAGTTTACCAACTCAGAGCTTGGCCAACACTGAACCATAAACAGACAAACTGCTATGTAGTTCCACTAATGCTAAAAGAAATGATAGTTTGTATTGCTACCTACCACAGAAAGGACAGAATCTGCAGTTGGAGGTCAACCAAGTCAACTACTTCAAAAATAACAATACTAAGGACTGGGATATAACTCACTGGTAGAGCACAGCTCATCCAGCATATATAAGGCCCTGGGTTCAATCCCTAGTAAGGCAAAAAATAAATAAGTAAATATATATAAAAATTCTCAAAAAAAAAACCCAGAATTGAGACATCTAAATTATATCATTTGTAATGTGTATAATAAATTTCAAAGTAGTCTAACACAAAGACACAGCAAAACACTATCCATTGTTAAATGAAAAAGAAGGAAAAATCTAGAGAGATAATACATAAGATGTCCTTGATATTGATTTTAGCAGGAAAAAAAATTTAAAGCAGCCTGTAACATCTAGGCTCAAGTAAAATGTCTGTAATGAATGAAAAGATCGGAAATCCCAGCAGATAAAGAAAAACTATACATTCTAGAATTTAAAAGTCTGGAATTAAAAATTCACCATACAGCAAGAGTAGAGATAACAAAATCAAGCGTTATGGAACCTGAAGACAGATTCATAAAAATTATCCAGCGTGAAAAACAGAAAGCAAAAAACTGGGAAATAAGATAAACAGATTGCCTCTGGGGCCTTGAGACAGAACCAAAAAGTCTAACGTAAATCAATAAAATCCCAGATTAGAAGACAGAAAGGACAGAAAAAAAGTATTTTAAGAGTAATGAGCAAATACTTCCCAAAGTTAATGAATAACATAAATTTATACATTTCAGAAACTCAGCCAACTCCAAGCAAGATAAATTAAAAGGAAAACAAACCTAAGCACTTCATACTCAAACTGATTAAAAAAAAACTAGAGAGAAAATGTTGAAGGCAAAATATTACCTATAGGGGGAGAACGGTTTGATTTACCATTGATGTCTTGCCGGGTTCTAGAAAAAGCCAGCTTCCACGTTAAGGAGCCCAGGACAAAGAACCAGCATGTCTGGCCAACAGGCAGGCAAACAAGGATCTGAAGCCAGACACAGTTACCATAAGCTTGGAAGAAGGTGTCTATTGCAAAAATACCCTCTTAACACTCTGCAAAACTGAATGTGAAGTCTATTTTGACCATGAAGAACCTGCTGGACAGTACACGCACCTATCCTTCCCCTTTCCTTAAACTCTATAAGTCCTTTAATGAAAATAAACATGACCTGTAATTACAGCAGCTCTGGAGACTGAGGCAGGAGGATCACAACTTCAAAGCCAGATTCAGCAAAAGCAAGGCACTAAGCAAACTCAGTGAGACCCTGTCTCTAAATAAAATACAAAATAATGCTGGGGATGTGGCTCAGTGGTTGGGTACCCCTGAGTTCAATCCTGGTACCAAAAAGAAAATAAACATGATAGTTTACTTTCTGAAGAGAGGTCATACACAATTCTTAGCAATTTAAAGATTCTTATTACAATATCGTAAGAAAGATAGGAAATGTGCCTTCTCTTTTCAAGTGGAATTTTCAATTGATGTGAAGGAAATTACCTAAGATCAGGCAAATTTATCTGAGGTCATAAGGTTACTGGAAATACTAACACTCCTATGCTTCTATTCCTAATTTCCAAATCTTTACCTCCCCCTCAAAATCCAAAATGGTAAGTACATTTAGAATTAGACTATAAGTGAAAAGAAAATACTAGTTCCTTCTTTGTCTCATCTCAAATCCTGAATCAGAAACCATCTTATGAAAAACATTCAGAAACCCTGCAATTTAATTACAGAATAGATACAAAAAGACTTGAAAGCAGCACACTTCATTTCCTTTCTTTTACTTTTTTAGACACTAGAATCACAACACTTAATTTGAGGTTCCACTTTCTAGTCCCTCTCTATCCCTGACTTACCCTGAGGTTCCAAGTCAATCAAATCTTTGGCCTAAAATAATGAGACAGCAAAAAATGAGAATGGGAAGGGAAAGAGATATACTAACAGAAGAAAAGAAAAAAAAGATGCCTACATGTTAGAAAGAGGTTCTATTGCAACCTGCACCTTATTTCCCTTCAGTGACAATTATATCTTAAATTTGAATAGAACTTTAAAAGTTTTTCAAAGCATTTTCATATCTATTATTGCCAGTCTGTCCTCTTTCATTCCAAAAAAGAAGCATGAAAGGTACAAATAACAGGGCTTCGTTTGACAATGAGGTACTGGTAGGCTAAGAACTCAATCTTCTCAGGGGGTCAACGTGTTATAAGCTTTCTAATACAATTATAAAATATGACAAATATAAAAAATTTTTAAGTTTGATTTCCTTACCTGAAATTGGCATGCACATTTCAAACCATCTCCATCTTCTTTACAGACTCCTCCATATTTACACGATGATTCATCACAAACTCTTACATCAGACTCCCTCACATTTAATTCTGCAAGAAAGAAAAAAAATTGTTTTATATGTATATATTTGGCTTTTTTTTAAATCCAGATGTTCATAAACAAAAGAGCAAAGCCTTAAAATGTGTTGGGCATCCCATTCACAAGTATAACAATTAGACAATATACAAAAAGCAAGTTCTATAGAATGCAAAATGTTCAGTACACCCCATGTCAAAAAGACACCCACCCCAAACTTGAAATTTCAGGATTTAACATAATCCCCAAAGGTAAATCTATGGAATATTTCTATTTTGGCTGCCAACTCCTTACAATAATCTTCTTACTATGGTTTTAATATTTTATATTATTTTTCTAGTGAGTAACTTATTTTAAAGGATAACAAATAAAAACAATTAGAAACAATCTTCTCTTGGTAGTAAAAATAAATTTAAATGATCATTCTAGACAAATTAACAATTTTAACTATGAATTATGAAGTGAACTTGGATTTTGTAATATGTATATATACATATGTATATAGAGAGAGAACATTTATGTACACAGAAGAGATTAAAAATCTTCATATACTTAAAACTTAAATGCCTGATTTAAATTTGCTTTACCATAGGAAGCAAGTCAAATCAAAATCATACATCACTCTATGATGATTTTATTCCTGCTCCAATACTGTCAGTCCTGCACTGAAAGCATCATATTAAGCTTTCTCTGAAAGCAAATAAATTGCTTCAGGGTTAGTGCTAAGCTGCCAATCACATGGAATGGGGTGAAAATCTCTACAATGCCATTTTCATATCCTCCTACTAGGAATTTGAGCCACAACAACAAATGCACTTATGCAAAGAAAAAACAAATGATTTTGTTGTTGTTTTAAATCCCACACAGTTGTGATAACATGGATCTGGGAGCAGGGAAGCCCAAGTTCACCTGAGACTACTGGTCAGCAGCTGAGCAACTCAGAAAAGTACAAGGTCTCCTGCATTCTAGGTCTTCATGAAGGTCTGGCAAACATTTCACAGAGTACCTCCAAGATATTCCCCATCCATGGTTATTTTCTATTTCTAGATTTCAAAGTAGGACTCAAGGAATGGGTCAAGTAGAGTCCAGTGTCTAGGGACATCTACTCTAGTGACATTTCATTGACCTCACTGATTCATTGGTTCTCACTGCTCTGCAATGGCGTCTTGGGTCTGCCACTCCTAGGAACTGACAGTCAAGTACCTAAATACACAAGGAATTGACCGGCAACCATAGTCATGTGTGAACCAACCACCCTGAACCAAGCACTACACTAGAGTAAGCACAATTTACCTAACTGTGGGTTGTGAGGGTTTTTTTGTTTTGTTTTCTTTCTTTTTCTTAAATGGATCTCAAGTGCACAGAATTGGATTACTCCAAGTTCAAGCATCTGCACTTAAAACAAGAGCTAGCTTATACAGCTATTTTGTTATTCTGTTTCACAAACCATTCTAGGTACAGGAGATGCTCTCTTAATTTCTTCTGGTTCTGGCTGTGAAAGGGTTAGGCCCTTGGTCCTCCTCTCCCAATACTTGGCTCATTGTCCTGTTTCCCTCTTGACCATATGCTTTAGCTATTGAGGCTCCTGAGCCTCCATCCTAAGCATAGGGGTTTTTTCCTATCTACTCACACTCCTGCTAGGAATTTATACAAGATCCAGTTCCAAACACTATCAAATAAACAGCTTCAGACTCAAGGAAAGTAACTAAATATTAATTAAAGATCTACCCTAGAAAAGAGCATAAAAGTGCATAATATCTTTGCTCAACTACAGATTTAACCAAGTTCAGAGGCCACAGAAATAAGAATTGCACAATTTAACAAATAAAACTTAGTGTATTAACTCTTCTTTCCTTCCTTTAGAGGCCTAAAATTCACACTGGGTTCAATTACAATCTATAACACAATTATATATAAAAGAAAAAACAAGAATAACTGAAGTTTTTAATATTGTCTGAGTCAAGATCGAGCTGACTCATACGTTGCTACCTTAGCTTAAGATTCTTTTGAGTTATAATATGTTCTTCATGCTTTTATTTCATAGTATAGTGGATTGCATGCTAGAGAGGACCCAAACCATCCCTGCCACTAAGATTCACACATTTAGTGACCTCTCAAGATGGCCAGGCAAATGTTTGCCTGAAGGACTAAGGAATATTTTAGGAGAATGATCTTCCTCACCAAAGTGAAGCAGAAAAGCTTGGTCCAATAAACAAAGTCTTGAACAGAGGCAGGGATCTGAAGCACAATGTGGCATCTATCACTTAGACTGCTCGCCCAGATCAGACCCAAGAGCTCATCATGACATAGACAGATGGGCTACAATAAGAAATTAAAGAATGTCTTGTCTGAAGTGACAAGACATAAAGACCTTTGCTTTGATGCTTACATGACAAGTTATAACAGAAGTGAGACACAAGGGGCTGGGACCCACAACTGAGCCTGAGTAACTACAGCATACGTGGCAAAACACAAGGCCAAGAAGAAAAGTAGTGTCAGGCCAAGAGTTCCAGTGCTGATAGCTGGAAGAACATGCCAATGTAGGGGCAGCAAACATCACAGGAAGGAAAGGACAGCTGCAACGTGACAGAGGCCCACAGAAACACCCTTCGGAGACACTAAAGAAGGGAGGCATTTATGAGGGAGCTATAGATCTGCTATGGTTTGAATGTGTCCCCCAACAGCACATGCATTGGAACCTAATTCCTCAGGGCAGTCAGTCTAATGGGAGGTGTCTGACTCATGGGGAGGGAGCCACATGAATGAATAATGCCTTTCTGAAAGAAATGGACTAGCTATGTCAGAAATTAAATCCCTTTTCTTTTTTCTGCACATGCTCACATGCCTGTCTGCTTTCTACCATGAGGTAGTACAAGGCCCTCACCAAATGAAACAGCCAGATTTCTCAGCCTTTAGAACCATGAGCCAAAATAAACATTTTTTTTATAAATATATACAATCTCAGGTATTCTGATATAGCAACAGAAATGGACTAAGACAAGATACTATTATCAATAAGGGTAAAAGTTATGAAATTCTGATTACTCTGGCTACTAGTTATATCTTATTTTATGTCTATCTTGCAATCAAATACTGTTATTTTCATGTGTTCATGTGTTAAATATGATTAATTGATCAGAAAGAATTTATTAAGCATCTACAATATACCTAATTACTATGCTAAGAATTTGGAATACACAGGAAAATATATAACAGGAGGCTTATGATCCTGCTACCAAATGGAACAATTAGTGATGATTGCAATATAGTGAATAATTAAGGGGATAAATGGTTAGTACTGTCTATAATTGCTCTAGGAGTTTCAAGAAGTTGAGGATAAAAAGGGATTTGAAGCATAGGGTGCAGAGACAGAAAAGGCGAGAACTTGCATTGACCTTGAAATTTAAATAAGGGTTTTTTTCTGATAATAAAACATAGATAATTATAAAGAACTTAGAAAGATGTTTAAAAAGAAAATCATCTTAATTGCCCACAACATGTAATAATAAGATAGAAAAGAGAATTTTTTAATGTACAAAAATTATGTAAGTGAAAGTAGAGACAAAGTAATTTAATAGTATGCAAAAAATAGTATTGATGCTGTGGTTCTCAAACCATGTTCCTTGAGAAAACTGTTGTCCTAGACTAGGATATAAACTTCATTAAAATCAAGAGTTTTATTTGCTCATTTGCAATAAGAAAAAAGCAATGGATTATATATGAATACACATCCAGTATAGCTCCATGTAATGTACAACCACAAGAATGGGAAGTTATGCTCCATGTATGTATAATATATCAAAATACACTCTGCTGTCATGTATAACTAGAACAAATAAATTGATATTTTTAAAGCATTGGAAAAAATGGTCTCATTTCAAGGAAGTTTTTATTTCACTTTTATTTCTTAAACCTTCAATAGCTGATAATACCTCTTTACCAGCTATCAATAAAATGTTCAACAAATAAAGAATATTTCAGAAAAATTCCAACAGTTTTATAAGAACAAGGTCATGAATATACATCTTAAATTCTTAAGTTGTTTTATACTTGTGGCCACCACTAATTATCTTCCTCTTTTTTTTTTTTTTTTTTTTTTTTTGGTGCTGGAGATTTAACCCAGGAGCACTTCACCACTGCACTGAGCTATATCCCCAGCACTTTTTGTTTTTTAATTTGAGATAAGGTCTCATCAAATTGCTTAGGGCTTCGATAAATTGCTGAGGATAAACTTTAACTTGTGATCCTCCTATTGTGAGCCAGGATTACAGGCATGCACCACCACACCCCACTATTCACCTCCCTTGAATCTATCCTCCCCATCTTTCTCCCCAGCTAACTAATCTATACTTCTCAGCCTCCCTAACTCTGTGCCACAGCTCATATATAAGCAGTGTCCCATCCTCTTTCATTCTTCATTTTTTTTCCTGATAGAACATACCTACAATGCTAAGATTGGAATAGATGGAAGCTAGAAATCAAGATGATAGTTCAGAAAGACAGGAGTAGGAGAAGAATCATGGAATCACCATACCTACTGTGGACTCAATCCTCCAAAATTATTGTTGTAGGAAATAAATGAATGATAACATAAAACAATAAAGCCATCATCGTATAAGCCACTGTTGGTCAGGCTGCCCTGATGCAGTGAAACACAATCCACTTATAATAATCGCACACAGATTTAATTAAGACAAACATTTCTAAGTAAGAGTTGACAGAATTTATGCTACATTGAAATCCACATTTATGAATTCATCAAGAGACTTCCTGGTACTCTGCCTCCCAAACACTGTGAGAACCAATACCTTAGCTCAAACTCACTACAGAAGAAATCTATTCAGGGATCGTCTTCTGAATGTTTCAAGTATTATGTACAATACCAGGCATCCAGAGGGCACTCTGCTATCTGTCCATGATGACGATTACATACCTGTCTTCTACAGCCAAAAACAGAAATTCAGCAAAATTGACAAGCCATTTCTAAGACCCTCAAAAGTCAATTCTCCAAATA